GTTGAAATAACACCAACAATAATGGGTAACATACACCTGACGCTATTGAAGCTACACTGCCGACTGTCATCAATAGTATATCCAAGAGATCAGCAAATTTATGCTAGAACGAAAGTAGTACTGTAAGGAGTTTAAATTAAAAATCGTATTAAACCGCAAACAGCAATAATTACAATTTCAAATGGTTTTAAACCTTTAACTTTTGGCTTTTTTGTCTTAGTTTTAAATTTTCTACCCAAGAATCTAACAATGAAAAAGCATAGTAGAGTAATTTATAACAGAATTGTGCCGAGTTTCGATTCTTACGGTATACTGGAGAAAAACACATATCTTTTTCCTGTTCTAGATGACTTTTGTGAACTAGGAGTAGTTGTTTCTTCCATCATTACTGGCATTTGACTTTGTACTAATATAATTTTATCGTTCGTTTGCTGTTCAATTTCATCCTTCTCATAGTTGCTGAAATCAACATTATGTAGCTCTTCCAAGTTCGAAATAGAATTATCGCCATTCGACAGCATAGTATTAATTGGCTTACGACTACGAATTAAAAAGACTAAATAATATTCACATGAAAAAATCGATTAGTGACCAATACGTCAAACTAAGTTCAGTTAGTTTAAATCAAACTCAGATCTGGTGTCGACCGAAGGGTTTAGGAAACATACTTTAATCGAATGTTCTACTTGTTTTTTTTAGCGCGGTTGCAAACGTTCGATTCGGTATGCGCCAGTACGACTTTGTCAGCAGACAAGTTTGTAGCTGGTCGACTCGAATCTTCAGAAGCCGATCTTTACGCATAAAAACACAAAAACCTGCTTTTTCCAGTAACGGTTTTGTAATAAAATAAGCGTACTTGTCGTTAGCAGGCTCATCTAACTTCGACTTTTGATTTTGATTAGGTGAAGAAGATAATGCGCCAGAAGTTGGATGTTTCTCATTTTGGACTGGAGAATATGACTGTGGTAACCCTGATGATGATGATCCGTCGATATTGCGAATTTCTTTGTCCTTTAGTGAATTTTCATACGCAGAATTTGACATAGTAATTTGTCTTTATTCACTAGATCAATAATATTCTTGATGCATTCTAAAATGAATGTCGTGAATCAGTACCTTGAGCAAATGGATTAATGCAATAATGGATTTTAAACTCTTCTATGATTCTGAAAAAAATACAATCAAAACTGACGAGGGAACATATTTAGGTGTTTAAGCCCTTTAGGTCCCATCTTTTGGCGATAGGTAGACCTCAATGAGGTATGAAAAACCTCAAGAGGATTTATTCCCTCGCGCCTTTGTTTTCGAGATATCGAATTTTCAAGATGCATACGAAAAGAGACTGAAACGAAAAAATGATCGTTTATGGAGAACTGTAGAGTATTTAGGCGGAAGTCTGTTGCAGTTTCGCCCA